CCTCTTCACCTTTTACTATACAATGTTTTCCACATTTTCAACAACTAATGTTTATCACATTTTCATTTCGAGTCAATATATGTAGCCCCAGTAAAGAACAGAGTTTGCATATTAATGTAGGCATAAGGAGCAGGAAAAAGATGAAGGAAGAAAAAAAAAGATCAAAAGGGAAAACACCAAGAAATTTCCCCAAATCCTAACTAAATACAACTCTGATGTACACAAGGAGATACTATTTAGGCAACAGAATAAAGGGAAATATAAATTAAAGCTGCTTAAAAGAATGTCTGTAGACCTAAAATTTATATCCATATCCAAGGCATCAAGAAAAAGTACCACAAATGACAGCCAATATTTCACTGTATTTCTCCAAGCAGTTCTTAATTACAGAGCATTACTGAGAACCGAGTACACTGCTAGCAAAAAATTAACAGAGCACATCCAAAATCAACAGCAGGGCAGTAATTCCTGCCTGCAGCCATCAGACCCTGGCGCACATTGCCAGGAGGCAATTGGGTGGTTTCCCACTTGATCCAGCTTTTGGATCACCTGGGTCTCAAATCAGTGTTTGCCTAAGGAAGGGAGCACTGTCCTCCTGGGGGGGCTGACTTCCCTCACACAGCTCCGGAGTTCCAGTCCAGCCCAGCAGCTCCCCTGAGCCCACCTGGAGCCTCCTGCTGGAACCAAAGGGTCCTTCCCTTCCTCAGGATGTTTTTTCTGGTGTTCTCAGCATGCAAAAAGGGAAAAAGCCTGCAGACTCTACACCAAACTCCCTTTCCACACCTGATTTTCCCCCCCGCGAAATAACTACAGATTATTCTACTTGCTGCAGGCAACACAAAATCTCTAGCTAAACAAAAGATGTTGTGAGCAACCAAAAACCAAATAAGCTCCCAAAATTTAACAGGTACCCAGAATGAAAAATACAACACACACAGCACAATCTTTAAGTAAGTCACTGTTACCCAACACACCATACAGAAAATCCAGAACATGTCAGAGAATGTCTCCATTTTCCATTTACAATTAGAGCAACTTTTTCTCTGCCTTTATATTAATGGTGGGAATTTAAACTTTAAACAAATATTTGTATTGCTTGTGTGATTTGGAAAAATGTCATCTTTCTCCTGATCACAAAGTACCCAGAAACAGATGCCACATCTCCCAGGGTTTTTTTTGTGGCTGGCAGTTATTCCCTTTGCATTTCTCCAGCACCATTTGTGATGACTGTTCATGAGGAGCTCAGTGCAGGTAGCCACTCTTGTAACAGACATCTTCTCCAAGTGAAACTTAACAAGGGATTTGAGCAGCCGAGGAACCATAATTTAGTAATTTAAAATAATTTACTAGTACCTAAAGTGTCTAACTGCTTAAGTGAAATACAATGGAGCCAGAATTTTTAATTAATTTCATTTTGCCAGATTAAAAAGATAAAGTTTAACTTTTGAGATGTCTTTTACAATGTATATTCACTCCTCTACCCTCCAAAACAATACATAGCAGAGTGAAAAGTTACATTTGATTTAACTGGGGGTTTTAACCTCTTGGGAGGTGGAGAAGGGTGGTGTGAGATATTTACCTCAGTTATTCCTTGCTATAGGCTTTTGCCAACAAACACCAAAAATCAAATATTTGCACAGGAACCTGACTATCGGGGTGAAGAGTTTTTTCCTCTCCAATAATAAAGATAGTCTCAAATTTGGTTTTGAAACTAAGGAGGACAAAGAGAGCATGGAGCAAAAAATAATTACAAAAAACCAATTGAAACTGGTGCTTGGTGCATTTCCTAACTCCAAAGCAGCTGAGTGCTGGTTCACACATCTTTCACAGGGTTTTGAGTTACATCCAGCTGCTGCTGGGGTTACACCCTGCTCCCAGAGCAGCTGAAAGCCCCTGCAGGACCCCTGGAGCCTGGCCCCAGCATCCCAGCCACTCCTGGGGTTACATCCTGGTTCCCAGAGCAGCTGAAAGCCCCTGCAGGATTCCCTGGAGCCTTGTCCCATCCCAGCTGTTCCTGGAGTTACATCCTGGCTCCCAGAGCAGCTGAAAGCCCCTGCAGGATCCCTGGAGCTGCTTCCAGCGCCTGCACTTCGTGCTCCATACAAAACCCTGCCTCATCAAATTTTGTCCTCATAAACTGAAATGGAGCACTGAATGACTATTTCCACATAAAAGCTTTTCTCTTTTGCAAATTTCTCCTTTGGTGGTTCAAAAACTAGAAAAAAGAAAAGTAGTAATATAATCACTCAAAGTCTGAGGAAAAAAGAGGCAGCAACAGAGCTGATAAAGAAACCCCAACAGCTGAAGTATTACACTAAAAAAAAGTTAAAATGAAATGTTGTAACAGCACCAAAACCTTTCCACCTTTTCACTTCAAAGAAAAATTGAAAAACTAATGAAGTGATTCTAAATTTATATTTTCATGAAATAGCATTTCTAGTGGAAAAGCACTCTGTCAAAAAATGTTGACCCAGCTGTAAGAACTTTATCTACAGACTGCTCAGAAGAAAAATTCTTCTATTTTGTATTGCTCACATTCAGAAATAACTGGCATTTTACATGTTAACTTTTTATTTATTTTTCTATAACATGAAATACAGCAAGTTCCTTATTTAGTTTTGAATTAAATTATCCTATAAGTTAGTCACTGGTTCAGGACTGAGAAATCTCCTGCAATCATCAAATTGCTCAAGCCCAGCAATGAGGATGGAGTAATTTTTATTTATTTCAGAGGAAATTATTTTTTGATTATATCAACATAGCTGTAGCCCTTTACATTCCTGTTACATCCTTATGGCATTTCAGAGTACTAACTGTGTTTTGTGAATTGCTTTAAGCTTCTGGATACTTTTGAAAGGAATCTTCAGGAAAATTGCTTGCGAGCAAGCTAATAATAGACACCACTCTTCAAAGCAGGAGCCTGAAAAATTTAGGCAAGTACTTCTCTTGAAACAAATACAGAAGCAGAAAAATGCATTTAAAAATTTACTGCAAATAAATCCTCCTTGGCTTTTAAGCCTTCCAGGATTTAGTCTGATGAAGGCGTACAAAATTCCTCTGGGCAAAATGCATGGGAACAATACATCAAATTCGAGGCAGTGGTACTTGCAAGGAAAGGAGCAGTAATGAGCAGCACTTGTCAGAAACAAGCTGCCCATCATCTCAAAGGGACAGCATTCCTGGGTGGAACATTCTAGGGCTGGAACACGATGAAAATTCCCCTTTTCCACAGCAACTCTCCAGCAGCACCCAGCCACCCCCTCTGCAGCCTGCTCCTCAGCCTGACAAGCCTCAGGACATGAAATCCCAGCTGCTTAGCCCATGCTGGGCCCCAGGAGCTTCCCTCTCCAGGATTTCCCAGACCTTTACTCTTTATCTCTACTGATGAACTTTAGGACAGGTCTCAGGGTCCTGGGGACCAGTGGAGCTGCAAAGACCATGTCTCTCCAACCTCTGTGAGGGAGCCCATCCAGCAAGATGCCCTGTGCTGTGAAAGGAGGCAGAACACCTCTGTGGCCAAGCAGAGTGCTTGGTTTTGATCAAAATAACCTCAAATCTGAAATCCCCATCTGTCACAAACCAGCACCCTCCCTCTGCCAGCCCAGGTGGGGCTTTCCTGATGCCTTGGACAGGACACACTCTGAGCACATCCTGCCAGCACCTTGTGGTGCAAAGCTCTGCCAAGGATCCTGATTTTCTCAACAGAGCAGCAACAAACCCCAGTGATCATCATAAATAAAGCTTACAGCCACTGCTCTGCAACACGTCACACTCCCCATCAGTGCCCAGAGCCCAGTCCAGCTGGGACATCCCTTCCCAGCTGGGACACCCCACCTGCCAGGCAGGTTTGAGCACCTGCTCTGTGCTGAGCTGGGGCAGGCTGAGGGGGCAGAGCTCCATCTCCCAGCCCACAGCAGCAGGGACAGGTGGCCACATCGAGGCACCCTGAGCAAGGCTCAGCTGGAACAGAGCTCCTCTGGACAGTGTCAGCACAGACAGGGGCTGCTGCCATCTCCTCTGCCCCACACTGTAGCTACCCCTCACTCCTTCTCCATCAAACTAAACTCATTCAAAGCAGTAACCCTGGTTTTGAGATCTAAAAACTACTTTTAGGCCATTTTTTGTTTAATTTTCAGGATGAAGTTAACATGTAAGGACTCCACTACACATTCAACTGAAAGAGCAACAAATGAGAAGCCCTGGGTGAATGACTCAACACTGGGAGGCTGAATAAATCCCTATACCTTGAATTTGACAGGTTAAAGTAGCCGGTAAGTCAATTAATACAGCCAGAAGTTCAGCTTTCTTTAAGTGTGTAGTTACATAAAATATTTGTGTTCAACATACAAAATTCAATATAAAAAACTCACTATTTAATATCAGCTTCTGTATTAATTAAAAATACAAGAAGCAGCCTAGGTCAGTATTACAAATTGCCAGCTCTCACAAAACCCTGCACTTCACCCAAAGCACCTTTGATAGACATTAATAACCAACCCCTTCCAACATTCAAAATCACAGCAAGAATCAACAAAGTTAAGCTGCTTGCTCCTCTTGTTGGGCTTACATTGTTTGCCACCAATGAACTTCATTAACCTGGAAGTAACTGGGGACACCTTCCCACGAAGCTGTGTCCCCTCCTGGCTGCACAGGTCGGAACTGAAGCCACAGCAGGTGAGGGATCAGGCTCACAGTGACTGCACCCCCTGACTGAAAGGCAGAAATCACCCTCTTGAAACAGCCAGAGCCAAACTCTTCAGAAATCATGACAGGTGACCCAATTTCACCCCTTGTGTACATTCCAAAAAGCAGCCAGGGAAGTATTAACATTCACATAACCAAAATTTTCAGAATGCAGAAGTCAAAAAGCAAATGCTGTTTGGTATTGAGAAGTGAAGATACAACTCCTTGATTACCCTTTAGCCTATTTATACTTATTTGAATCCCATTACCATTTAGCATTTTAATACTTAAAATGAAAATAAAACATGGTTACTAACCTGTGGGAAGAGAGAGTAAGTTGCATTGTCAATTGTGACAGAATATAAAAATTCCCCATCAAACCAGAGGTTCTTTCCCATGGGGGAATTCATCTTTGTCATGGCAAAGAGCTGCCCAGGGTCACAGCATTCTTCCAGCAGCTTCCTAGAGAAGGGAACAAAAGAGTAAGGGCTATTATTGGAGCCTTGTCACACCTTTGTTAATCATCACCCCTCACATCCGTGTTCCTGCTGCCCGCAGGTAATCCCAAGCCACACTTCCCAGCCAGCAGATGAACCATGGCTCTTTTTTTTTTGCTTACATAAGAGCCAGAAAACATTTTATTTCAGAAAATCTTAGGCCCGCAGGTAATCCCAAGCCACACTTCCCAGCCAGCAGATGAACCATGGCTCTCTTCTGGCTCTTATGTAAGCAAAAAAAAAAACATTTTATTTCAGAAAAGCTTAGAAAAAAAAATCTAAATTTTCATTCAGACTGACACACAAAAGAACCCCAAGATTCAGCAAAAGAAACTCCATCCTAGACAGCCTGTTTTAATGGGTAAAAAACTGGTCTCCAACACATTCAGAAATCAGATAAGCTCATTTGAAAACTCGATCCAAGGTACATAAATGTTCAGTACCAAACATTTATGAAGAGCAGGCCTCCTAAAGCCCCACAGTTCCATAAGCTCATTTGAAAACTTGATCCAAGGTACATAAATGTTCAGTACCAAACATTATTTATGAGGAGCAGGTCTCCTAAAGCCCCACAGTTCCTTAGCTGGGCATGGCAGTGTTGGCACCTCTCTCCAGTCCCTGCCTGTCCTTGTGCTGCATTCCCAGCAGGGTTAGAGCCTCCCAGCTGGAGGGCAGCCTGAGTCACCCAGTGTGATGGATATATATAGAGAGTGCCTGTACTCGTTAGTGTCCCTGCTGAAACTCCATATCCTCTCACTCCCTCGTGGCCCAAAAATACTTCTCAGCCTGAGTAGAAATTGGAGAGTTGGTGAAGTGGTTGAAGGTTATCCTGAAAATTCTGTACCACAGCACACTCAGCAATTAATATCCTAAACCACAGACTGATGGAAAGCTCTAAAGGTCCAGAATATCCTGTATTTCCAAAGCCTCAATTATCAATTAACAAACATCAATTATTAGTGCTAAAATGGTTGGTATAGCTGTTCTCTGCACTAGAGATTTTATTAAAAACCATAAAGTGATCCACAAAAATTGAAATTTAAGCATATTTAAAGTTTTAAAGCTACTTTTCAACTCTAGAAATTGATATTTGAAAAAATGTTGTATTTCCCTGTCACAAATTAATTTTGCCATAATCCTCTGCAAATGTGCGAGTATTATTTTTCAGACACACTTCAACTGGAGTAACAACAAATCCCCAGCAACAACATCCCTCAGAAAGTGGCAGAGTCCACAAGGCTGGCAATGCTCCACACTCAAGAGGAGGAGCTGCTGCACATTCCCATCCAGGTGGGATTCCCCAAAAGGCTGGAACAGGTGACCATCAGAGGCCCCTTCCCAGCCTGGCAGGCGTGGCTCTGGGGCTGGTTTATGTCCCTCTGAGCAGGGCTCAGCACTGTGCCAGCCAGAGGAGCAATTCCCACTCCAAGAGCACCAATGGCTTCATCCACAACCTCCAAGGAAAGGCTCCACATCACCCTCCTGCTGATGCCCACATAAAGAATTCAGCACAGAACAGTGAAAAACAAATTACAGCAAATTTGAAATCTCTCATTGAACAACCTTTGCAAAACTGTAAAACAGGCATGGAACACTGTCCCAAACACAAGATCTCTCAGTGGAGATTTTTCTGGCTATATGCAAACCAGTTTGCAGATTTTGGAAAATTATTTCTCTCTCAAGTGGAAAGAAAATAATTCTGAGTATTTTTCTATCCCCACAGCAACTCTTACAAAAAAACGTAAATTAATCCAAGATCAGCTGGAGCCATTTGTTACAAAACTGTATAACACAATTAAACTTTTCCAGTGAAATTCTTCAACTCACACCTCCTCTGGAAGTCTGGTCTGAGCAAAAAGCACAAAGAAACCCCCAAATAACTTAGTGGAAAATTATCTAGGGAATGTTTTACATTCATAAATCCTCTCTTAGCCAGGGTACCAGGGTAGACTGAAGAGCTAAGGAGCAGCCCTTCGTACAAGTCCCACCCTATTTATTAGGCGAGATATACATCCCTACTCCTTCCCATCCCCTCAAACTCCTCCTTCCAATTCCCATTGAATGCTTCATTAATAAACCTACTCTGAAAAGCAGCAGGGGTCGCCTGGAAAGGCCACAAATAGGCAGGCCACTTGTTCAAGAATGAAGCTGTGTGTAGGAACACAAATCTTGTGCACTCATGTGTGCTCTCCATCAGAAAAGAATAATTTATTATAAATCTCTTTCTGATCCAAATCCCAACATCACAAAGCAAGAAAAGCTTCATAGGAAAATTGAAAAGCAGAATGGATTCAAATACAAAACTATAGCAGGATACTTTGCAGGATCAGGGAGACTGAGCTATTTGCTGAGCTTGATTAAGACATACAGCATAAATGTTATTACAGAATGGGCAGAACTGCAGCAGCTTTCCGACAGCAATCACAGCTCTCTGCAAGCATTCCTCCACTCACACAAAAAACAATATGCTTTTGATTCAAAGTTCTCTCCAGAGAAGACCTGTAGGTGAGAGGACTTAATATTGGGATTGAAAAGGCATTGGGGGCCCTCGGACCCAGGAGCACTCAGGGGGCAAATCTCTACTTGAGAGGAGCAGGAGAAATGTTCCTTGGGGAAATTTCACTTCAAGCCCTCAGATTTCAGCTGTAATTGGGCACCAGGCAGGTCATTAAGCAAAAGGCAGCCTCAGCAATGAGATCTTAACCTGAATTCATTCACAAAACTTTCATAAAACTCCCAAATAATTCTCCACCTTAAGCTAACAAACTTTGCAGTCTGATGTCAGCTTGCAGACAGTTAATGCTCAATGGCACCCTGGTGTGACTCATGTCCCAGTCAATAATGACACAGGAGCTATTTTGAACATCCCAAATGCAGCAAATATAGTATCTAAAATTAAAAATGGACAGCTCCATGGCATGGGCTGTCAGCCAGGAGGTCACAGCTCCTGAGCTGTCTCTTCTCTGCAGGTGGGGGGTCCTGTCTCCCCAGCATGGCACCATTTCTCCAGCTGCCTTGGATGCTGTCCTGCACAGAGCCTGTAAGCACCCCCAGCACTGGGCAAGGCAGGGGGAGCAAAGCTCTTCCTCCCAGCTTTTCCCTTTTCAGTCCATGCAAGTGAGATGTGCTGCATTCACGTGAAACCAGACTGGTGGGGAGCCACTGGGGCAGCAGCAAGAGGAAGGCACCTTCACAAACATTCTGCAGGGAAGTGGTGGAGTCACCATGCCTGGAGGTGTTCAGAAAACAAGGATGGTCCAGAGCACATGGATGGGGAAAGGACAGGCGAGACTACAGCTTGGTGCTGCTCCTGCAGGTCCCAGCAAGTGCCAGCAGTGCCCTCACTGAACAAGGGCATGGATTCAACCATTGCACAAAAATGTTAACATGAGACTTAATATTTCATTACATTATGGCTCTAATGGAGCGTTAAAATAACAACTGAGGCTCACATCCAAGTCTGAGATAAAAATAATTTGTGAACTGCTTTAGTCAGACTCTGCTCAGCTGCCTGGGTTTAGGTGGCATCATGCTAACCTTGATCTGGTGACTGCAAAACAGAGCAGGAGGTGACAGCACAGCCTGACACAAACCTTCCCTTTACATACAGCTCCCATCTGCCTCAACTTCCCTTGGTTTGCTTTGGGATCAAATGAAAGCCCAGGGAAACAAAAAAAAAGCACCTGGCTTTGGAGTTTTGGCTGGTGTAAAGACAACCACCAGGCCTTCACTCACAAAGAGGGTTTTGAGGAGCTGCTGGAATCCAGAGTACAGGATTCACTTGGGTTTACTGGGGAAGAGTTGCACAGATCCATTTCACTGCCATTTATTATTGCTTCCATCTGCACACCCCCCCAGCAGAGGCAGAAAGCCCTACCAAGGGCCTCATGCAGTGCTGTTTCCCAGGATGTGCATCCCCTGCTGGAAATACTTCAGGGATTAAAGTCACTAGTGGCTCTGAAACACATCAGGCTTGACAACTTCTAACAGTTTCAAAATCTGGAATTCTCCTCGTTATGTCTTGGATGCAATGTTTCCATAAGGCTAACACATCCCCATGTTGTTGCAAGAAGTTTTGGTGGTAGGGGAGAAACCAAAAACCACTGCTTAAAAATGTATTAGGGTATTGTCTTTAGAAACTCTGATCAGAGTGTGATTTTTTGGCACTTTGGGTGCTGATTTTTAAATTATTTTTCCTCCCTCCTTTAAGAGATCCTTAAAGGAAGCTGCTCAAATTTCAGCCTCCCCTCTGATGAGCAGAATGGTTGGAGTTTCCTGAATTTCTTGCTATGAACAAAGTTTTTTACTCTTTCCATAATTCCTGTGGCTAGTCTCTTTTTCAAGACCCACCCCTAAATATCACATTCTAAATAAAGCCTGGAAATATTATTTCTAGGGTAGCTACCCCCTGCTAGCTACAGGCAAGCTGACCTCTCATTAGTCACACATCCCACACCATCCAAGAACAGACCAAAATCTGGGCTCATGTCCCATCTCCCAGAGCAGGCAGCAGCCAATGCCTGCAGCCGTAAGAGAGCCCACTCAAACACCACATAATGACCATTTTTCTGGCCATTTTTTTGCTCCAAGCTGGCAGTCTGGGAATTTTATGACCCTACAGAATTCTACAAAGCCATTCAGTAACAGCAAAATCACTGGTTCTACTGCAGTCAGTGAGCTTGGAACTGCAGCTGACATTTGGCTTCTGAATATTCTGTGAAAACACTGCTGGGTTTGGTCACACACACTGAATTTCTCTTTCCTAGAATTCCCTTTTCCTAAACAGCTCAATCTAATCATTGCAACTGGGGATTAGCTTGAAGAATTCACCGAGACTCTGAGGTTCTCATAGTGCTTAAAGCACCTTACTACTCCAGGCATGCTACCTACCCCACTCAAGATGAAATTGAAAATTATCCTCAGCACAATTGTCAGGGAATGTGATCCTAAAACCTCCCCCCTAAG